CAATGCCAATTTTGCCCTCAAGCGTGTGCCTTTTGACAAAATTCCTATTTTACCCTTCCCTAAACTTTTATGGATTTATTTCTGAATTTTTTTTATTTTGAAAATAAAAAACTCGATATTTGTAAAACACGGGTATGAACCACCTAATAAGAATATGTAAATACCTAAAATTATGGGCAGTTATATTTTTATGTTTCCATGCATAATCTGAAGAACTGAAATTGGAAAACATTTTTGCATTTTGCTGATGTCTCTTGTGAAAATAGGGTTTAGATTTTTTTGAACATCAAATTCAGAATTTAAAATTTAAAATTATTTATTATAAAATAAATAGTTAAAATTGTTAAAAAATAAAAAGTATTTCAAAATTGTAGAAGCTTGATGCACCCGAGACCCATTCCCTCATCCACTTCCATCACATCATTGGATTACCAGTCCAGCACGGTACATTAGATGCTGACAGAAATCGAATGTGATAGCAATAAGTAAATTACAACTAAATATTTTTAATGTTTTAATTTTATATAATTTATTTTAATTTATTTTTTTCAAACTCTGTTAGAATGACATATTTTCTTTTAATTTTAAGTTTTTATAAATATTTTTATTTATTTTATGGTACGAGACTATCTCTTTTAAAAAAATATATTTTTACAAATTTAAATTTAATTTTTTTATAAATATAAAAATATTTTATCATTTATATTATTACATCAGTCATTATTTGGATAATATTTAATTGCAAATGGAGAGCCCCATACTTGACTTCTTGTCGCTCACGCTTGGAAAAAGAGAAAAAGAAAAAGGAAAAAAAAAATAAATCCAGTCAAAGTAAACTGCCTAGAACGAGTGGACTGTCAATCTGAGACGGGGCATTATTGAATTTAAAACCATGTGCAGCGATCCACTAAATCCCCACCCACCCAATTGGCAGCTTGGCCCGACGTTTGGAGGCTGACTTGACAGCCTTCAGTCATTCACAAATGCATCTGCATGGTTCAAGTTTTTGGCGATAAAAATATCTAGAATAAATTGCACCAACGGTCCCCTGATTGTTTGACAATTCTCAATTTAGTCACTGAACTTCTAATTTTTTCAATAAATCTTCATGCTTATGAAATTAAATCAATTTCAATTTTAGTCTAAACCTAATTAATTCTAAATCAATGCAAACATACAAGAAAAATGGGACAAGTGATAGCCAGCGTGGCTTATGACATGAGTTGTAATGTGCATTGGAGAGAGAAGAAAACTACTGTATTCCATTTAAACTTCAAAATAACAAATGATTAAAAAAACACAGAGTTAAATTTGAGTTAAAGGAAAAAAAATCACACGTAACTTTTTCTTTCATTTTTTTTTCCAATATTAGCTTTGGTGAGGACACAAGTGCTTTAATTTCATCAATAAAAATGCTTGTAAGATTATTAACGGATCAGATTTAAATCAAATTAGATAAATTTGAATTAAATTTGATTATTGATTTTTATATTTGAATCCGATCTAAAATTTTATAAAATTTGTGTCTACTAAACCATGTCCGAATCTAATGAATAATTTGAAATCAAATAAAAAATTTCAATTCGACAAGAAAATGATATTTTTTTACACTTAAATTTGTCAACTCTATTCTATCAATCGTATTAATCTTTAAATTTCTGAATTTTCTCAATATATTTCCTACAAGTTTGAATTTATTAATATTAGATATATAAGATTATTTATATAATAAAAAATATTATTAAAAAAATTTAACAGATCGGATTCCTTAATTTTCTATTTAATAAATTTATTTCAAATTATGGATATTTATAATCAAATCTGACAAATCGAATATTTTTATCAAATTCAAATCTTAAAATTTAGATTAAAATTTAACTTATTAACAATTTTAGATACTCATTTGAAATTAAAAGTTTGGAGACGAAATCCAGAATAATCAAGTAACGGGGGATTGCCTATGCAATTTTACCCAAAATCTATAGAACAGCTTGGTAGTCGTCAAATTTGAAGCAAGTGGACCAATTGAGGAAGAAAAAAGGGACTAAATAATGTTTGTTTTACTCCTAGTTTTCAATTTGAGCAATTATAACAATGGAGATGGAACAAGATAAGATGCGCACCGCAATAGCAATGAAGTTGATTTTGAAGTCGTGGGTTGGGAAGACGGATTCAACCATTATTTGCCCGTGTATTTTCTCATATTTACGACTTGGTCTTCCACTTATCCCATCCCCGACGCTGCGTATTGCGACTATTTTCATTAAATTAATCAAAAAGATATTTGAAGTATTGGGGGCCTCGTCAAAATGCAAGAATGCATCATCTTTTCTTCGTTAATTTCTAGAGGGTTGGAATTTAACAATGATCGGGTCACTAATCGTCCACGTGGATCATCTGTCTTCCCGACATATGGCATCTAAAATATTTTAATCAAATAAAAAATTGTAATTACTTTTGAATTCTTTATATTTTCTTTTCAATATAAATGTAGAGCTCGTTATGTTATCACTGAATAATAAGATACTTTAGATTAAGTTTACTACTTGATTAGAAGTTCAAGGTTTAGATTGTCATAAATATAATTTATAATGCAAAGTTATGTTAAAATATTAAAATTGTCAATGAATTAAATTTATATCTGAATTCGATTTAAATTTAATCCAAATTTTAATATTTGAATTTGATTAAAATATTTGGTAGAATAAATATTGTTATTTGAAATAAATAAATTAGATATAAAATTAAGTAATTTAATTATTTAAAAAATTGAATTTAAATTTTAATAATATTTTTTATGAAATTAATAATCTTATATATAATATTATAATTCTAAATTTTTAATAATTAAATTAAGAAAATTAAAAATTTTAGAGTTCAAATATAATTAATAAAATAAAATTGAATAACTTAATTATAAAAAGATATTATATTATTATTGAATTGAGTTTTCGTATTAAAATTTAGATTACTTATCGAATTTAAATATAATTTAATAAATATGTATTTTATAAAATTTTAAATCGAATTTAAATATAAAAATTGATAATTATTTTTAAATTTATTCAATTTAATTTAAATGTGATGCATTTACAATGTTACAAAATATAATTATAAACGAGGATACAAGTATAATCCATCCCTCACTAATCAAACAAATTCAATCTTCCTCACCGCTGAAGAATATTGGACATTGGACTGCTTTCTCAATCACGCATGGAGCTTTCTGCTTTTGTTCAAGCTTCGACGACGTCAACGGTGATTGTCGGACACGAGAGGCCTCCACGAGAGGGAAGAGGGCACCTGGACGTTGGACGATAATAAAAGGACAGAGACCTTTACAAGCTGAAGGGCAAATCCGGCAAAGGCATTTCGGGCAATCCATAAAAAGTCAACCTTATGGATGGCGAAACGATTTTAGTTATTAATTACATGGAGACAACTTTTCAAACTAGAAAATGTGAAACTGGAAATACAAATCTAATATTTTATATAAATTATAAAGAATTTAAATATATTTTAAAAATGTAGTAGATTTTTTCTTTAATTTTTTTTTAAAAAAGGGGACACAATTACAGCTGTACCCAACCTGACAACCAACAGTAAAGAGTTGACATTTACGGGCCCTCCAATGAAAGAAATCTTGAGAATGTGATGACTTCCATGTAATTATATAAAAGCAGTGGGGAATAGACTAAAGTTAATTAATTGCACGAAAATTAATGTACGCGTTTAATGGCGTAATTTTTACTGGGAGATTTTTAAATATATCTTTAGAGTTTCAAAATTATTTTTAAATTGTTAAAGTTTAGAAATAATTTTACAATACTGTTGAAATTTCATAATATATTTGAAAATCTTCCTAATTTCCACTTACATTTGAAATTTTTCTGTAAAAATTTTTTGAAAAAAGATATATGAAGAAATAGAACCTTCTGTTAAAATATGATGTAATGGGAGAAGAAGGTTCCTTATTAATGTGTGTAATATTATTATAAGATAACTTAATTTTCCGTAAAACATATTTAAGGACACAGTTTAAATAAAATATTTTAATTAATTATTTTAAGACCAACATTCATTAAAGTCAGCAATTATGTGCTGAAGTTAATGGTAGAAGACGGAATTATATATTTTGATTAGCACTTCCCTGCAATAACAATAAAACAGCATTATTTTAAGACGTGTATTCATCATCAAAGGAATTAAACACGTTAGTGGAGAGGAAATCAATTAGGTGTAACAAACCACCGTTATTTTTCCAGTGTTACGTCAGAAGAAGAACTAATCCCAGCATTTAATATTCGGTCTTTTGATCTAAGAGTCAAATATTAAAAAGCATTTATTTAATATCTGCTTATTCTTATATAGGTCTAAAATTATCATTTCTTTTCTCTAATTGAATTTAATCCAAAAAAATATTTATTTTGGTCAAATTAATATATATAAACATATATGGGCCGAGCTTAACTAGCTTGTGAAAGAACACGTAAGCTTATGGACCCTTTAAATTTTATTTCAATAGTTGACTTTGCGGATCCGGACCTGCCCATGATCGTAACTTGGTAATTCCACCGTGGCAACCCGAACTCACTGTCAACTAGTTGAACGCTCCCCTCTCTATCTCTGAGTTTGGCTAATTTCTGTGGGTCAGAGCAAAGCATTAAGACGCGTTTCCTTTTTTGGATGTCATCTTCAAAAGATCTAAGTGGCCGACGACTCTGTTTACTGCTGTACCTTTCTCCCTTCTTGTCGTCTTCCTCTTCCTCAAAGTCTATCTTCTCCATTACGGCTTCTATTCGATGGATTGGAGTTAAATAATTAACAAGTCCTTGGACGCCCGGAGCAGAACCACCATGAGGGATTCAATGGCCGGGCTTCTGTTTCTCTTTCTCTCTCTTCTTTCTCTCTCTACAATCTCCCTCGCAGCTGACACCATGCTCAAGACCCAACTCTTAACCCACCCAAAAACTCTAATCTCAACCAATGAAAGCTTCGAAATGGGTTTCTTCAATCCCGGAAAGTCGAAGAAATGGTACCTGGGAATATGGTACAAGAAAATCTCCAACGGAACAGTAGTTTGGGTCGCAAACAGAGACACCCCCATGAACGACTCATCTGGGTCGGTGAAGCTAAACGTGTCGGGCTCCCTTGTCCTCCTCGACAGCTCCAACCGCACTGTCTGGTCCTCCATCGTCAACAGATCCGTTCAAAACCCAGTCCTCCAGCTCCTCGATTCGGGCAATCTCGTGGTCCGAGCCGCGGAAGACCAAAACTCGGAAGATTACCTCTGGCAGAGCTTCGATTATCCGACCGACACTCACCTTCCGGGCATGAAGCTGGGGAAGAACGCGGCTACGGGAAAGGAATGGTACATCACTTCGTGGAAGAGCAAGGACGACCCAGGTCGAGGCCCGTATAAATACTGGATGGATCTAACCGGGTACCCGCAAATCTTCATGAGCAACGGCAGCACGGATCTATACCGGAGCGGGCCTTGGAACGGGCTCCGGTACAGCGGGACTCCAAGCCTGAGACCCAATCCTATCTATACCTACGGGATGTATTTCCAGAAGAACGAGGTCTATTACAGGTAACAGTTACTGCTAGAAGATAAGTAACCAATATTAGTCAATGCAAAATCATGTAATAGATTAAAATTTTTAGCTTTTATTGAAAAACAAAATCAAACTTTCTTCTCAACAAATATGAGCAAATTACAATTTATTTATTTTTTGTTTGTTGATTTCTCATCTCACACTTTCTTCAAAAAAGTCGTGCAACACGGGCGTTTCAATTCTCCGCATAGCTTTTCGAGGACTAGATATTAGGTATATTACAGGAAACTCCTTTAGAGTAATGTGTTTTTTTCAGTTTACCCCTTTGGAAGTAAAATATTTATCAATTGACAACCTGTAATATCTTGTCGTACACCTAACATCCTTTCTTCTATTCTATTTGATTTTCAATAATTAATGTCAATTGGTTAGAAGATGCTGCTGAACCATATTTTTACGTTGTGCTATAAGCACGTTGAATTCCTGTATATATATATATATAGAGAGAGAGAGAGAGAGAGAGAGAGAGCTTCATATTCGGTTTACAGGATGATAATGAAGGATTTTCCCTCTTATCTTCGTAAGCTACTTTGTTCTCTTATATATGATCATTCGAATTTGTTTGCCTAACATCATCAGTCCGTGATGACTGGGTCCCCAACGAATTTCTACTACGAGAATAGAATTATCAGTGAAGAATTTTAAGGATGCAAGATCCTCCAAACTTCACACACCATTCTATCACAGGTATGACCTTATCAACAGTTCGGTCGTTTCGAGATTCGTGATGCTCTCAGATGGAATGGCCCAGCGGTCCACGTGGATCGACCAGTCCCACAGCTGGTCCCTCTACCGAAACATTCCGACGGACAACTGCGACCAATATAAGCTGTGCGGGCCGAATGGGATCTGCAACGTGGACCAGGCCAACATTTGCGGCTGCTTGAGCAAGTTCGTGCCGAAATCACAAAGTCAATGGGACAAGACCGATTGGTCGGGCGGGTGTGTCCGCAGAAAGCCGTTGAGCTGCCAGGGAGACAGTTTTATCCCAGTCGAGGGGGTAAAGTTGCCGGACACTAGAATATCTTGGCACGACGCGAACATGACCCTTCAGCAGTGCAGAGACAGGTGCTTGAGTAACTGCAGTTGTACGGGTTACGCAACCTTGGACATCGGAAAGAATACTGGGTGCTTGCAATGGTTTGGTGACTTGTTTGATATTAAGGAGTTCAATGAAAATGGGCAAGAGCTTTTTGTAAGGGTGGCGGCGTCTGAACTGGGTAAGGAACTGAAAATTGTTTTTAGCTTCCATAGTCTGCCAAAAATAATTTTCGAAGAAATTCTATGGCTTATTTTCGAAGAAATGTTCACACACGGATTGCTATGCATTCATATTAGATATGGCTAGCCCCGTTTAAGTTTGGACATTTTTATATTGCTCTTGCTAGTTTGTTCTTAATTATGTTGTAGATATAGTTAACACTTACGATTATTTGAGCCCTTTTCTGATTTCCATTTCATTTTTTCTACTTTTCGGAAAAAATGAAAAATTCTTATTTCTTATTTCAAGCAGAACAATTTTTTAAGAGTTCCAGAAAACGCAAAGAGGCTGTTTTCTAAAATTTGTTGTTGTAACAGTTTTCAATTCAGTCAGTCAATTCCCTTTTCAGTCTGGAAAACAGAATGAGAAGCAGGGTAAAACAGTTTCCTGAAACAACATGAGACAGGATGCAATTGATCTCAGTGGGAAGGATTTCAAAGTTCTCTTTCAATATATAAATTTTTAAATTGTGCTTTCATGGTTTGACTGTCTAATTGACTGACATTTTTCTTGCGTGGATGCAAACTTCACCCGAAAAGCCAACTCCAATCACAAGAAAGTAGTGGTAATCACAGTGACTACGGTAGTTGGTGGAGTGCTTCTGTTTGGTCTCTGCATAATGCTGTGCGTCCGGAGAAGGAAGAATGAGAAGCGGAAGCTACAAGGTAACCCAAGTTAGTCAATTGAGTAGTAGACGTCATCAAACATTGCATTGAGATTTCTGACTAGGTTTGATTTTAAGTATTTAACTTATTAACAAACAAGTTATGCCCTCTTCTTTATTCAAATATGGAAAGAAGGGGAAAGACTTTCATGCTTATATGTTCGGTAATGGAGGTGTGTTTCAATCTGCAACAAGGTTTCCTTCTGCTGGTACAAGTCTTATTAACATTCTCATCTCCCCTACTTTGCAGAGAGGCTGAGAATTGGAAACAAATATGCAGGAACAATCAAGAAGGAAGATATAGAACTACCCTTGTATGAGTTTGATGCCATATCAAATGCTACAAATGACTTTTCAATCGACAACAAGCTTGGAGAGGGTGGATTTGGACCTGTTTACAAGGTAACCTAGCAGACACACCCACAAAGACAGTTTCTTTGTTTTATATTTAGTTTTCAAAACATTTTTTTCCTCACTTGAAAATTCCTACTTGTGTGGAATTTTCCCTTTCAAGTTGTTTCAAACTGTTTATTTACTTGTCCGATTGGTTACCTTCAGGGGACACTGGAAGGAGGGCAAGAAATAGCCGTGAAACGGCTCTCAAGAAGTTCGAGACAAGGAATTGATGAGTTCAAGAATGAAGTCCTCTGCATTGCCAAACTGCAGCACCGAAACCTTGTGAAGCTTCTGGGTTGTTGCATTCATGGGGAAGAGAAGATGTTAATCTATGAATTCATGCCAAACAAAAGCTTGGACGCTTTCATCTTCGGTTAGTCTCTCTCAAAACTATAACTGATAAGCTTCAATTACTCTTGTCTATACCTAGGTCCAGCGGCAAAGTATTGAAACAGAGACCTAAGAATAACTGTGGCAGCTAGCACTGGTTTTCTTTTTTCAACTTGACTGCATAAAATTGATATTGATAAAAAAAGGGGAAAATGATGAATTTTTATTACGGAATTTTATCTAATTGAATTTTATTGACGGTGGCTTGAACTGACTGATGTATTCTTGGGCAGATGAGGGGCAAGGTACAGTATTGGATTGGCCTAAGCGCTTCCACATTATCAATGGAATTGCGGGTGGAATTCTTTATCTTCATCAGGATTCTAGACTGAGAATCATTCATAGAGATCTTAAAGCTAGCAACATTTTGCTAGACAAGGATATGAATCCAAAAATATCAGACTTCGGAATGGCTAGAAGCTTTGGAGGGGATGATGCAGAAGGAAATACCAATAGAGTGGTTGGAACATAGTAAGAACTCTCTCCACATCTTGGATTTAGTGAACTCACTTTGTTGATTGGAAAAAATCTGTTTATTGATATGTCAATTTGCTTGCAGTGGTTATATGTCTCCAGAATACGCTGTGGATGGACTTTTCTCAGTCAAATTGGATGTTTTCAGTTTTGGAGTTTTGGTACTTGAAATTGTGATCGGAAAGAGGAACAGGGGTTTCTCTCACCCTGATCACAGCCTCAACCTCTTGGCCATGTGAGTATTAACCCCACGCTCAACCAAATAAATACTAGTAATAACAAAAATTCTGGCTTTCTTTTTTCTTTAAAGAGAAACTTGGATGGCAACTCAAAGTTAATGACATATCCACAATATAAAAAATTTGGAAAAATTTTGATCATGGGAAATATTAATGGGTAAAACGGTTAAAATAGGAAAGTTAGAGACAGGAAATATTTTGAAATCTCTCATCTATAGATACAAAGGTGTCTGCACATTACTCTGTGGATCCTACACTAATTTGTGTGCATAGATAAGAAAATTTGATGACTTTTATGGATAAAATATAGCATTTCTTCATAAAATGAAAGGAATATTCAACCCAATAATGTGACATTTCGGAATTGTTCAGGCATGGAGACTGTATAGAGAAGGAAGGTCAATGGAGCTAGTTGACACGACTATATTTGAGTCGTGCTATATGTCCCAAATCTTGAGGTCGATCCAAGTCGGCTTACTATGCGTGCAACAAAATCCGGACGACAGGCCAACCATGTCGAGTGTAGTTCTGATGTTGGGAAGCGAAGGCACATTGCCCTTGCCGAAGCAGCCAGGGTTTTTCACAGAGAGGAATCCGGAAAATGAAAGTGTGGTGATACTACATCCAGCAAGAACAACACAAGAGTCTCAACTAATGACTTCACCATCACTATAATGGAACCTCGATAGTGACTTGAGCCCACTTTTCATGATGGTTGACTACCTTTGCCAACTCTGATGCTTCGCTTGACAAACAATAGCAACCGCAACTTTAGACGTTTTTCTTTTGACGGCAATGCCAATTTCACCGTCAAGCACCTTCCTTTCTGATAAAATTCCTATTTACCCCCCCTAAGCTTTTTTGGATTCCTTTCTGAAATTTTTTTATTTTGAAAATAAAAGACTCGGTATTTGTGGAAACCAGTGTTTGATCACCTAATAAGAATATGTAAATACCTAAAATTATGGCAATTTTATTTTATGTTTCCATACATAATTTCCAGCCTTCACTCATTCACAACTGCATCTGCATGGTTCAAGTTTTTGGTTATCAAAAATTTCGAAATAAGTTGCACCAACGGTCCCTAATTGTTTGATAATTCTCAATCTAGTCACTGAACTTCTAATTTTTTCAATAAATCTTCATGCTTATGAAATTAAATCAATGTCAACTTTATTCTAAACCTAATTAAGTCTAAATCAATGCAAACATACAAGAAAAAAGGGACAAGTGATAGCCAGCGTGGCTTATGACATGACTTGTAATATGTTTAGGAGAGAGAAAATAACAACTTTATTCCATTTAAAAATTCAAAATAACAAATAATTGAAAATACACATAGAGTTGAATTAGAGTTAAAGGAAAAAAAAATCACACGTAACTTTTTCTTTCATTTTTTTTCCAATATTAGCTTTGGTGAGAACATCATTGCTTTAATTTCATCAATAGAGGTATTTGTAGGCTATCAATGGATCGGACTTAGATTAAATTAAACAAATTTAAATAGTAATTTTTATATTTGAATCAAATCTAAAATTTTATAAAATCTATGTCAGAATTTAATAAATAATCTAAAATCCGATAATAAATTTTGATTTGACAAAAAATAGTACTCTTTTACATTTAACTCTCTCGACTTTATTTTATCAATTATATTAGTTCTCGAATTTCTTAATTTCTCAATATACTTTTTACAAGTTCGAATTTATTAATATTATATATATAAGATTATCAATACAAAAAATATTATTAAAATTTAGATTCAAAATTTAACATATTAGATTATTTAATTTTATATTTAATATATTTATTTCATATTATGAATATTTATAATCAAATCTGATTTATCGAATATTTTTATTAGATTTAAATCTTTAGATTTAGATTAAATTCAAACAAAATTTAGATTAAAATTTAATTTATTTACAGTCGTAGATCATTGTTTGAAATTAGAAGTTTGGAGATGAAATCGAGAATTATCAAGTAACCGGGGGATTGTCTATGCAATTTTACCGAAATCTATAGAATAGCTTGGTAGTCATCAAATTTGAAGCAAGTGGGCCAATTGAGGAAGAAAAAGAGGCACTAGATAATGTTTGTTTACTCCTAGTTTTCATATTATAATAATTTAAGCAATTATAACAATGGAGACGGACCAAGATAGCAATGAAGTTGATTTTGAAATCGGGGGTCGGGAAGACGGTTTCAACAATTATTTGCCTGTGTATTTGCTCATATTTACTACTTGGTCTTCCACTTACCCCATCCTCGACGCTGCGTATTGCAACTACCCGAAGTTAGGCAATCAGCACGAATTCCTTTCAGTAAATTAATCAAAAAGATATTTAAAGTGTTGGGGGCCTCGTCAAAGTGCAGGAATGCATCATATTTTCTTCATTAATTTCTTGCGGATTAGAATTTGAATAATGATCCGGTCACCAATCGTCTACGTGGATCATATGTCTTACTGGCAAAATTTTTAATCAGATAAAAAATTACAATTACATTTGTATTCTTTATATTTTCTTTTCAATATAAATATAGAGCGTTTGCTTTTAGTAAAAAATAAGATAATTTAGATTAATTTACTACTTGACTAAAAGTTCAAGGTTTGGACTACTACAATTATAATTTATAATTCAAAGTTACTCCAAAATATTAGAACTACTAATAGATTAGATTTATATCTAAATCTGATCAATATTCGATCTGAATTTAAATATTCAATTTTGATAAAAATGTTTGATCGAATAAATATTGTCATATGAAATAAATGAATCGATAATAAAATTAAGTAATTTGATTAATTAAAGATTTGAATATGAATTTTAATAATATTTTTATATTAAATTAATAATCTTATATATATAATGTAACGATTATTAAGAGCTACTAGCTTAAATAACTTATTGATCCTAAATCACTGGCTCAAAATACTTGAACTCAAGTTATTTAGTAGTAGTCTCTAATTTCTTATATGCTGTATCATATTACTCTTAGAAATCAATATGTGATGGGATGTCACAATCTCCACCACTTAAATGCTTGACGTTTCCGTCAAGTTAAAAATTTGTTTTTGTATCCAAATAGAACGTGTCCAAAGATCATTTTTACTCTAGTACTATTGTAACAATCTGAGAGTTATTGGTCTGAATAACTTATTGTACTTGAACTACTTGTCTTAAATACTTAAGCCTAATTTGTTTAGTAATAGTTTTTAGTCTTTTATATACTATATCATATTACTCTCAGAAAACGATATGAGACAGGATGTCACAATTAATAAATCTAAATTTGGTAGTAACTAAATTGAAAAAATTGAAAAATTTAGGGTTCAAGTATAATTAATAAAATAAAATTAAGGGACTAAAGTATAAAAGGGAATTATATTCTGATTGAATTGGATTTTCTTATTGGAATTTGGATTTAAATGTAATTTAATAATGTCACGACTCAAGTGGTAGATCCATAACCAGTGCCAAAGTTAGAATGAAATTTGAACTTAGTAAGCCTAACTATTATACAATATTTCTATAATAACTCAAAAACGACTAATCTTAATAATTTGTTGAACTTGAACCATTGTTACAAAATGTTTTTAACCAAAATTATTCAGTAGTAGTCTCTAGTCTCTTATATATTATATCATATTATTTTAGAAATTAATGTGGGACGAAATGTCACAATCTCCCTCACTTAAAGACTTAACATTTTCGTTAAGTCATAAATCTGTATTTATATCTAAATAAAACAGGTTCGAAAATTATTTTATTCTAATATCATTTATCATGACCTAAGTGCTAAATTTCTAACCAATGCTAACATTAGAATGGAATTTAATCTAGTAAATCTAACACCCATACAATATTTCTACAATGACTCAAAAACTATTCACCTGACAATTGTTAAGCTTAAATCATTTGCCAAAAACATTTAAATCTAAGTTTTTAAGTACTAATTTTTAGTATTTTATATATCATATTATTATATTATTTCTAAAAATTAATGTGACCTGGATGTCACGAATAAACAAGTATTTTATAAATTCTTGAATCAATTTAAGTATGAAAATATAATCATATTTTAAATTTGGACAAAAATAGCTATAAATGAGCATACAATTGTAATCTATCCTTCACTAATCAAACAAGTTCAATCTTCCCCACTGCTGAAGGTTATGGGATATTGGACTATTTTTCTCAATCGCGTACGGAGCAGCTTTCTTGTCTTATTGAAGCTTCGACCATGTGAACGGTGATCAATGGACAAGAGAGATCTCCATGAGAGGGAAGAAGGCAGCTGGACGTTGGACAATAATAAAAGGATAGAGACCTTTGCAATTGAAGAGCAAATCCAGAAAGACGTGAAATTGTGCAGGTTTTTGGGCAATCCATGCAAAAGCAACCCTTCGGTGGGCGAAATTATTTTAGTTATTAATTATATGGAAAACAAGTTTTCAAACTAGAAAATGAGAAACTGGAAACAAAGCTTAGGGGCTGTTTGGTTGGTCTGTTTCTATTTCATTTTCAATAAAAATAGAAAATGGATTTGAAAACGTGTTTGTGTAATATTTTTATTTTCATATTAAATTTTTTTTTTCTAAAATTTGGTTGAAAAGAGAAAAATAATGAAAAGTTATTTTTTCAATTTTTCAATAAAAAGTTAAAAAACGTGTCGGTAGAGACGTAATTTTTTCAATTTTCAGTACCTTTTCTTTTAGCTTATTTCGTTGTTACTGTGCTCGTCTCTCAGTTGAGAGGAAGAAGTGTCATCTCTCACCTCTCATTCTTCATCTCTCTCTTCTCTCGTCTCCGGCCCCCATTTTGGTGTTCAACCCAGCCTCCTGCATTCCAACTAAATATGCCAACTGTTCAACTTCCATTCCAAATTCTGAAGCTCAGTTTTCTCATTCTATTCAAAATCTCAATGATCAGGACTCACTCTGTTGATTGGAACTCCCATTTGATCGTCGTAAGCTCATCGTTAGTCGCTAGCCAGAGCTGCCAAATTTGGCCAGGTTGCAACCGGTCTGTTAAACTAGGTCGTGACCCGGTTGGAGGTAAGAGATGGGATTCTAGCAAAATTTTGTAAAATTTTATTTTGGTCCATCATCTTTTTTCTATTATTCAATATAGTTTCTAAACTATTCAGGTTTGTTTTTCAAATTCTATAACTTTTGGTTTCTTCGTTTAAACTTTTATCAAAAACCCTAAAATTTTGATTTCATTTAATTTAATTCAGTATTTATTTTCAGTTTAATAAAAATAAGTAAACCAAACATATTTTCTTTATTTTTTATTTTTTTTAAAAAGAAAACAATTAGGTAAACCAAACCTGTTTTCTAAAATTCAAATTTCTAAAAAACAAAAATCATTTTCAAAAAATAAAAATAAAAAATGAAAAAGAAACATTTTCGAAAACCAAACACCACCTTATTTCTTATGTAAATAATAAAGAATTTAAATATATTTTAAAAATGTAGTAGATTTTTTTTTGTTTAAAGAAAGGGAGATCCAATTACAGTTGTACCTGACCTAAACCAACAGTAAAGGGTTTGACATTTACGATCCCTCGGATGAAAGAATTTGGAGAATTTTATGTGCCCCACCCCCCTCTCACAAGGGGGGCCCCACTGCTGGGCCCCTACATTGTGGAGGGGCCCACTGCCGAGTCCC